AGTCTGTATGTCCCGGTCAAGGAGGTGCCAACTTGCCACATGGCTCTGCTAGTCTCCAACTGGGACCAGCTCCGGCACCCCTGCTGCTCCGCGCAGATGGGACAGGCCACTAGTGCCATCCACTGACACAGTACTTGGATATTGTGTTAACTTAAGATACCAGATGGGTGGTATCACATGAGGTCCCATTGTTAAACCAAATGCATTGTGGGCCCAAACCCTATTGTTATTAGTAGAAATGTGAAAAATATGCTCCTAGAGAGGAGACCGTCTGTCTTCTTCTACAAGCAAAACTAAATGCTGAAGATGCGCCTAAATAGATTTTTTTTTTTTTACTAATTACAACACTACACCAATTATGCTATAACTATTTGTTTTATTTGGATTTGCCCTGGTGTTAGATATAAGAGGTAGGTTAGATATGTGAATAGAATAATTTCCACTCTCTCTCATAATTGAATACAGCATTTTCCAGTATATAAACATGTATTTCCAAATGGTGGTTAAAATGGCATCAGAGTTAAGCTACTTTGCCTGGTCAGTAATCCAACCATTTTGATACTAAAGCAGCACAATCAAGTCCTTATAAACTCATTCATGCATTGATATCAATCTTACGACTACATATTCAGGTCCTACCAGGAGGTAAAAGGCTGCAGCAGCAGGGTAAAGGTCAACTGTTAACCAACGATTCCTAATATGAAACAATTAAACCTAACAAAGTGCAAAAGTTGCTAAGAGAGCATATTTGTACATGTGTATTTGTGTGTGCTGGCATGCTAAGATTAATTCCTAATGTGTGAAATCAGTGTGCAATAAGCACTGCTTCTCCCATTGGCCAATTCCCAGGTCTCAGAAAATATCGTTCCCCAGGGTGATGTTTTGTTATTAAATTAATTTAACCATAAAGCAAAATTTAATACAGTGGTGCAACCAGGCATCAAACTGTTCTTTTCCAGACTGTCTGGCAACAACTGCAGTGTGTGCTGCAGGTCCAGTATTTCGTGGAAACTCAACTATACCTGCCAGTTACAAGTCTGAGTGGCCACAATAAGCAGCCTTGAGTTAGTGTTTCTGACAGCAGGAACAGATGATGCAGCACTTCAGACAGAGAGGTAATTAGCCACAGAGGAAAAACAGACCACCGGGAGAGCTTCGACAAGAGCTGCCAGCCCACTCTCATATATGCAATGAAATTAGATGACAGAGTCAGATGATGTGATGGTCTGATTGGTCTTCTTGCACCCTCAAGTGGTGCTACACTGACATGACAGGGTGAGAGAGGACATGGCAGCTGATGTTGGCTCATTATGGCAGGGCTCTGCTATGCATTCACTAAGTATAACACATAGAGATTCACTTTTGAAAAATAAATTGCATGTCCAACACCACATGGCATGAGAAACATTTGAGAGCTGCAGCTGTAAGTCTGAGACATCAAGATGAACAACCTGAAGTTGCTCCATAATCATGCCTTATTAATTCTGATTAATGAATGTTAGCATTCTCCAATAGACATTCTTCCACTGCTATGTTTTCAAAAGGATTTTGTATCACCAGAAAAGCATTAAGTTTAATGAATGAATTACATTTTTATTAGTGAGTCATGCAGCTTGGTCCATTGGCTTACAAGACCCTACAACCTCACATAAGCCAGATCAACAGAGTTGTATGCAAATTTTAAACAATACTACGAAGGAAATCTGACTCGTTTAGCTTTCACAATCAAATGCTTGGACCTTCATTGTTTACTACAATATTCATAACTCACTGGGAAAGGATTTCTTTGGAATACTGGAGAAATTTTAGCAAATACTAATTAAAGATCCTCTCGAGACAGAATGTGTGTCTAATATGTTGTTTCTGAAAAAGAAAATCCACATAAAAATCCTTAAAAAGACATTGTTCTACTCTTTCTACCTCATT